GCACACAGCTGTATAAAATCCACATTGAACTGGGTTATATGGCAGTGTGGACTCAGGGCCTTTCCACACAGCCATATAATCTAGAATATGAAGTCAGATAATCCACAATATCTGCTTTGAACTGGATTATCTGAGTCCACACTGCCATATAATCCAGTTCAATGTGGACTTTATACAGCTGTGTGCAAGGGGCCTCCGATAATCCAGTTCAAAGCAGATATTGTGGATTATCTGCCTTGATATTCTGAGGGCCCTTCCACACAACTGTATAAAATCCCACATTATCCATTCTGAACTACAGCAATGTGGACTCAGATTTTGTTGTTGTTCATGTGTTCATTTGTTCAGTCATTCGTTCAGACCAGCCTACGCCAGAGCTCCCTGTTGGCCGTCACCAACCCCAGCTCCTTCAAGGTCAAGCCAGTGACTTCTAGGATGCCATCCATCCATCTTGCCCTTGGCCGGTCCCTCTTCCTTTTTCCTTCCATTTTCCCCAGCATTGTTGTCTTCTGAAAGATTCCCTTTTTTCTCATGATGTGGCCAAAGTACTTCATCTTTGTCTCTACCATCCTTCCCTCCAATGAGCAGTTAGGCTTTATTTCCTGGAGGATGGACTGGTTGGATCTTCTTGCAGTCCAAGGCACTCTCAGAACTTTCCTCCAACACCACAGTTCAAAAGCATCTATCTTCCTTCGCTCAGCCTTCCCTATGGTCGAGCTCTCACATCCATAGGTGACTACAGGGAATACAATTGCTTTAACTATGCGGATCTTTGTTGCCAGTGTAATGTCTCTACTCTTCACTATTTTATCGAGATTGGTCATTGCTCTCCTCCCAACAAGTAAACATTTTCTGATTTCCTGGCTGCAGTCTGCGTCTGCAGTAATCTTTGCACCTAGAAATACAAAGCCTATTTCTATTTCCCAGTTATCAGTCATTCTTGTTGCCATAATCTTGGTTTTTTTTATGTTTAGCTGCAACCCAGATTTTGCGCTTTCTTTTTTCACCTTGATTAGAAGGCTCCTCAGCTCCTCCTCGCTTTCGGCCATCAAAGTGGTGTCACCTGCATATCTAAGCTTGTTAATGTTTCTTCCAGCAATTTTCACCCCAGCCTTGCATTTGTCAAGCCCCGCACATCGCATGATGTGTTCTGCATACAAGTTGAATAGGTTGGGTGAGAGTATACAACCCTGCCGTACGCCTTTCCTAATCTTGAACCAGTCTGTTGTTTTGTGGTCAGTTCTTACTGTTGCTACTTGGTCCTTATATAGATTCTTCAGGAGAGAGATAAGGTGATTTGGTATGCCCATAACACCAAGAACTTGCCTCAATTTATTATGATCCACACAGTCAAAGGCTTTAGAATAGTCAGTAAAACGGAAATAGATATTTTCTGAAATTTCCTGCCTCTCTCCATTATCTAGCAGATATTGGCAATTTGGTATCTCGTTCCTCTGCCTTTTCTAAACCCAGCTTGCACATCTGGCAACTCTTGGTCCATGTATTGCTGGAGTCTTCCTTGCAGGATCTTCAGCATTACCTTACTGGCATGAGAAATAAGGGCCACTGTATGGAAGTTTGGACAGTCTTTAGCATTTCCCTTTTTTTGGTATGGAGATATAAGTTGGATTTTTTTCCAGCCTGATGGCCTTTCTTGTGTTTTCCATATTTGCTGGTATATGGCATGCATCACCTTGACAGCATCATCTTTCAAGATTTTAAACAGTTCAGCTGGGATCCCGTCATCTCCTGCTGCCTTGTTGTTAGCAATGCTTCTTAAGGCCAGATGACCCAGCAAAAAGCAGATATTGTGGGTTACCTGCCTTGATATTCAGGGTTATATGGCTGCGTGGCAAGGCCCTTTGTCCCCACTGCCAGATAATCTGGGGACCCTTCCACACAGCCCTTTATCACAGGGTCTGATCCCGGATTATCTGCTTTATTTATTTATTTACTGTATTTGTATACCGCCTTTCTCAGCCAATCAGCGACAAGGCGGTTTCCAACAAATCAGTATACATAAAACATAATACAGATAAAAAACATTAAACAGTATAAGACATCACAAAAGCAGTAAAAACAACATCATCAGCGTCTCATTATTCTCAAGCATTGTCCAGTTCCACTGTCAGGTCATTCAATTTCCTATATTCGCTACTCTGTATTTGTAAACGTTTGCTCGAATAGCCACGTTTTAACTTTCCTCCAAAACGTCAAGAGGGAGGGAGCAGATCTGATCTCCCTAGGGAGGGCGTTCCATAGCTGAGGGGCCACCACTGAGAATGCCCTGTCTCTCGTCCCCGCCTTGTGACGAAGGCGGAACCGAGAACAGGGCCTCCCTGGATGATCTTAAAGTCCTCAGTGGTTTGTAAGGGGAGATATGTTCAGACAGGTAAGTTGGGCTGGAACCATTTAGGGCTTTATAGGCCAAAGCCAGCACTTTGAATTGGGCCCGGTAGCAAATAATATAATAATAATAAACCTTTATTTGTACCCCGCTAACATCTCCCGAAGGACTTGGTATGGCTTACAAGAGGCCGAGGCCCAAACACAACAAAAACAACATCATCACAAATACAACAAAATAACTCATAAAACAGCAGTAAACATTAAAACAATAGCAAATAACATTAGACAATAATACCATGACACATTTAAAAACTAAGATTTAAAAACTAAGGCTGGGCCAATGTAATGATTAAAAAATTTAAAATGCTGGGCATGGCAGGTGAAACATATAGGTTTTTGGAGATAGGTGCAATGTGCAGACAATCTTACGTCTCTTAAATGTCCCTAAGTGCATTTAGGGACATGATGCTTGGAGTTTCCTATTCTGGGAAGGCACACTGGAACAACCATGTCTTCAAGCTCCTCCTAAAGACTGCCAATGTTGGGGCTTGTTTGATGTCCTTGGGGAGAGAGTTCCAGAGTTGGGGGGCCACCATTGAGAAGGCCCTGTCCCTCATCCCCACCAATCGCGCTTGCGACGCAGGTGGGATCATGAGTAGGGCGTCTCCAGATCGGAGAGATTGTGTGGGTTCATATACGGAGATGCGGTCACGAAGGTAGGTGAGTCCCAAACTGTTTAGGGCTTTGTAGGTAAGCACCTGCACCTTGAATTGGGACCGGAAAATGAATGGCAGCCAATGGAGCTCCTTAAACAGGAGGGTTGACCTCTCTCTGTAAGGAGCACCAGTTAACAACCTGGCTGCTGCCCATTGAACCAGTTGGAATTTCTGGGCAGACTTCAAGGGCAGCCCCACGTAGAGCGCAACCTGGCAGCCAGTGGAGCTGGCGCAACAAGGGAGTTGTATGCTCCCTGAGCACCGCTCCTGTTAACAACCTGGCTGCTGTTCGTTGGTCTAGTTGAAGCTTCCAGACCGTCTTCAAGGGCAACCCCACATAGAGAGTGTTCCAGTAGTCTATACGGGATGTAACCAGAGTGTGGACTACTGGAGTCCCCACTGCCAGATAACCTGGGATAAACAGAAAACCTGGGATCAGATCCAGAGATATAGGACCTGTCTAGAAGGGCCCTAAGAGTTCTAAGGGTCCCTCTGAACACTGTAGAATGCAGTTAATGCAGTTTGTTGTTACTTGAGCTATCCTGGGAGGTGTAGTTTCAAAACTACGGTGAGGTGGATCTGTAATTGGTTAAATGGACGGACCCAGAGGGTGCTCACCAATGCTTCCTCTTCATCCTGGAAAGAAGTGACGAGCGGAGTGCCACAAGCAGGGCTCCATCCTGGGCCCGGTCCTGTTCAACATCTTTATTAATGACTTAGATGAAGGGCTAGAAGGCAGGATCATCAAGTTTGCAGACGACACCAAATTGGGAGGGATAGCCAATAGTCCAGAGGACAGGAGCAGGATTCAAAACGATCTTGACAGATTAGAGAGATGATTGGCCAAAACTAACAAAATGAAATTCAACAGTGACAAATGCAAGATACTCCACTTTGGCAGGAAAAACGAAATGCAAAGATACAGAATGGGGGACAATGCCTGGCTTGAGAGCAGTACGTGTGAAAGAGATCTTTGAGTCCTCGTGGATAGCAAGTTAAACACGAGCCAACAATGTGATGTGGCGGCGAAAAAAGCCAATGGGATTCTGGCCTGCATCAATAGGAGCATAGTGTCTAGATCCAGGGAAGTAATGCTACCCTTCTATTCTGTTTTGGTTCGACCACATCTGGAATATTGTGTCCAATTCTGGGCACCACAATTCAAGAGAGATATTGACAAGCTGGAATGTGTCCAGAGGAGAGCGACTAAAATGATAAAAGGTCTGGAGAACAAGCCCTATGAGGAGCAGCTTAAGGAGCTGGGCATGTTTACCCAGAAGAAGAGAAGGTTGAGAGGACACATGATAGCCATGTATAAATATGTGAGAGGAAGTCATAGGGAGGAGGGAGCAAGCTTGTTTTCTGCTTCCCTGGAGACTAGGATGCAATGGAGCAATGGCTTCAAACTACAAGAGAGGAGATTCCATCTGAACATGAGGAAGAACTTCCTGACTGTGAGAGCCGTTCAGCAGTGGAACTCTCTGCCCCGGAGTGTGGTGGAGGCTCCTTCTTTGGAAGCTTTTAAACAGAGGCTGGATGGCCATCTGTCAGGGTTGCTTTGAATGCAATATTCCTGCTTCTTGGCAGGGGGTTGGACTGGATGGCCCAGGAGGTCTCTTCCAACTCTTTGATTCTATGATTCTATGAATGCAGTTAATGCAGTTTGTTATAACTTGAGCTGTCCTGGCTCAATGCGATGGGATCCTGGGAAGTGTAGTTGCCAAAGTACTGGTGCCACGCCAAACTACCACTCCCTGATTCCATAGCACTGAGCCATAGCAAATCAAGTGGTACTAAATTGCATTATTTCTACAATGTGTAGCAATGCAACTCCAGGGCAGGGCTGAAAGGGCGCCTGTGCCCCTCCCTGTTTTTGAAGAGCTCTGTCAGCCGAAGGCGGGAAAGCCTAGTTACGTCACTTCCCAGAGCCGGAAGTAGCAGAGCTCTTGGGAACCCACGTGGTGTTTGGGCGAAGGAGACTGCGGAAAGGCTGCGATGCTCCGAGTAGGGCTCTCCTGGAGCCGAGGAGCCGCTCTGCGGGTGAGGAGGAAAGGACGAGGAAGGTCAGGAGGGAGATAGGCAACCGTGGCTCCGGAGGGGTTCAATCTAGTGTGCACATCCAGGCCCAGATCCTGCCTCTCTGGAAGCCCTAAATCAGGATTAGGGAAGGAGGGGAGGAACCTCAAGCCCAGGCCTTGGATTTCAGAATCAAAGGGCGCAGCTACACTGAACAGCTAATGCACTTTGACGCCACTTTATTAGCCATATAACCCAGAATATCAGGGCAGGAAATCCCACAATATCTGCTTTGAAATTCTTTGGAAGCTTTTAAACAGAGGCTGGATGGCCATCTGTCAGGGGTGATTTGAATGCAATATTCCTGCTTCTTGGCAGGGGGTTGGACTGGATGGCCCATGAGGTCTCTTCCAACTCTTTGATTCTATGATCTGAGTCCACACTGCCATATATCCCAGTTCAGAGTAGATAATGTGGGGTTTTATTCAGCTGTGTGGAAGGAGCCCCAAAATATCCTCACGGCCCTTTATCCCAGAACATCAAGGCAGAAAATCCCACATTATCTGAGTATGGACTCAGGTAACTCAGTTCAAAGCAGATATTGTGGGATTTTCTGCCCTGATATTCTGGGATATAGGACTGTGTGGAATAGGATCATAGAGTTGGAAGAGACCTCATGGGCCATCCAGTCCAACCCAGTGCCAAGAAGCAGGAAAATTGCATTCAAAGCACCCCCGACAGATGGCCATCCAGCCTCTGTTTAAAAGCTTCCAAAGAAGGAGCCTCCACCACACTCCGGGCAGAGAGTTCCACTGCTGAACGGCTCTCACAGTCAGGAAGTTCTTCCTCATGTTCAGATGGAATCTCCTTTCTTGTAGTTTGAAGCCATTGTTCCGCGTCCTAGTCTCCAGGCAAGCAGAAAACAAGCTTGCTCCCTCCTCCCTGTGGCTTCCTCTCACATATTTATACATGGCTATCATATCTCCTCTCAGCCTTCTCTTCTTCAGGCTAAACATGCCCATAGAATCAAAGAGTTGGAAGAGACCTCATGGGCCATCCAGTCCAACCCCTTGCCAAGAAGCAGGAATATTGCATTCAAATCACCCCTGACAGATGGCCATCCAGCCTCTGTTTAAAAGCTTCCAAAGAAGGAGCCTCCACCACACTCCAGGGCAGAGAGTTCCACTGCTGAACGGCTCTCACAGTCAGAAAGTTCTTCCTCATGTTCAGATGGAATCTCCTTCCTTGTAGTTTGAGCCATTGTTCCGCGTCCTAGTCTCCAGGGAAGCAGAAAACAAGCTTGCTCCCTCCTTCCAGTGGCTTCCTCTCACATATTTATACATGGCTATCATATCTCCTCTCAGCCTTCTCTTCTTCAGGCTAAACATGCCCAGCTCTTTAAGCCGCTCTTCATAGGGCTTGTTCTCCAGACCCTTGATCATTTTAGTCACCCTCCTCTGGACACATTCCAGTTTGTCAATTGTGGTGCCCAGAATTGGACACAATATTCCAGGTGTGGTCTAACCAAGGCAGAATAGAGGGGTAGCATTACTTCCCTAGATCTAGACATTATGCTCCTATTGATGCGGGCCAAAATCCCATTGGCTTTTTTTGCCGCCACATCACATTGTTGGCTCATGTTTAACTTGTTGTCCACGAGGACTCCAGGATCTTTTTCACACGTACTGCTCTCGAGCCAGGCATCGTCCCCCATTCCGTATCATTGCATTTTTCTGCCAAAGTGGAGTATCTTGCATTTGTCCCTCTTGAACTTCATTTTGTTAGTTTTGGTCCATCTCTCTAATCTATCAAGATCATTTTGAATTCTGCTCCTGTCCTCTGGAGTATTGGCTATCCCTCCCAAATTGGTCATCCCTCCCAATTTTAACGGGGCTATCTGAATCCACACTGCCATATATTCCAGTCCAAAGCAGATATTGTGGGATTTTCTGCCTTGATATTCTGGCATATAGAGCTGTGTGGAAGGGCCCCTGCTTGGAGTGCCAGGCTTGGAGACCAGGGACTCTTCCTCACAGCCATATAATCCAGAACAAAAAGGCAGAAAATCCCACAATATCTGCTTTGAACAGGGTTATCTGAATCCTTATTTCCATATATTCCAGTGCAAAGCAGATATTGTGGGATTTTCTGCCTTGATATTCTGGCATATAGAGCTGTGTGGAAGGGCCCCTGCTTGGAGTGCCAGGCTTGGAGACCAGGGACCCTTCCTCACAGCCATATAATCCAGAACAAAAAAGGCAGAAAATCCCACAATATCTGCTTTGAACGGGGCTATCTGAATCCACACTGCCATATGTTCCAGTCCAAGGCAGATATTGTGGGATTATCTGCCTTGATATACTGGGTTATATGGCTGTGTGGAAGGGCCCCGGAATTCAGCCAGAGAGTGAGTCACACTGGGCCCTTCCATACAGCCGTATAACCCAGAATATCAAGGCTGAGGGCCCTTCCACACAACCCATTATCCAGGAAACCAAGGCAGAAAATCCCACATTATGTGAATGTGGACTCAGATAACCCAATTCAAAGCAGATACTGTGGGATTTTCTGCCTTGATATTCTGGGATATAGGGCTGTGGAAAGCCCCATAGACCCCTTCCACACAGCTGAATACAAACCCACATTTTCTACTTTGAACTTGGAGTATATGGAAGTGTGCACCCAGCGCCCTTTACACAGCCATATAAACCTGAGTATCTGCTTTTGTGTGTGCGCGTGCTGAATTCAAAAAGCATAACAAAATATGTCATAATCATATTCAGTTCTTCTCCAAATTTCATTACTGATTTAATTCAGTCATGTCTTATGAACATAGAAATGTCATTGCCTGTTCTGAAAAAAACTACACGGTGGAGTAAATCAGAGGTCATTTTTTGATTTAGAATGCCACACTCCTGTAAAACCAGAATACATTTCTTTAAAAAAGTCTTTATGATCCTCAGTTTTGCAGGTCTGTGTAATGATTGCACAAATGATTTTGAAACCATTTCTTTTGTTTTATTTTGGGTGGCGGGAGTTCATAGTGACATGAACAGCATTGCAAATATTTAGCAGAAAGACCCTTAGAAAGAAAGAGCCCATTTGTAAGTGTATTGGAGTTGATTAATGACTTCGGATGTTCATTCTGCTTTCCATCCAAGCTTTTTTCAACAACATTGTCAAAACATGCAGATACTCTAAGCAACTCTAGCACAGTTTCCTTAAGAGGTAAGTCCTTTTCATGTTTATAAGCCATTATTTACTATTTATCTGTAGCATTTATCCCACCTTTTCCCCAAGAACATCCAGTCACAAGTGTTTTCTCTTTCTCTCAATATCTCTGAGAGAAAGATAACGCTGAGAGATAGTCACTGGTCCTCTAGCCCCTTCCACACAGCTGAATGAAATCCCATATTTTCTGCTTTAAATTGGAATATATGGCAGTGTGGACTCAAATAACCCAGTCCAAAGCAGATATCGTGAGATTTTTTGCCTTGATATTCTGGGGGCCCTTCCACACAGCCCTATATTCCAGAATATCAAGGCAGGAAATCCCACATTATCTGAGTGTGGACTCAGATAACCCAGTTCAAAGCAGATATTGTGTGATTTTTCTGCCTTTATATTCTGGGATACAGGACTGTGTGGAAGGGCCCTCTGTCTATTAAGTAACTGAGGTTAATTGCTGATTGCTCTCTCTACTTTCATGACGTAATATTGTTCTGAATATATCAACAAATGTATGTCAGCTTTGGGAATGATTTGTGGTCACAATTTTCTCTTGATATATTCTCCATGATTGTATGGTATAATGAAAATAATGGGTGGCATATGGAATGAATCTAATACCAATAAGATCTAAAATTAAAGTTGTATTTTAAAGTAGAATGAATCTAATACCAATAAGATCTAAAATTAAAGTTGTATTTTAAAGTAGTGGTAGAGTATGTCTATCCAGTTATGTGTTGAGTTTATTATTTATTCATGTAAGCATGAACATTTTGAGTTCCTTCATTTTAAAAACAATACATCAAAATATACTCTGTTTTCACTTATATGTAGAACAGGCCTCTTCAACCTGCAGCCCTCAAGGTATTTGGGCCTCTAACTCTCAGAAGCCCTAATAATCCTATTCAATGATCAAGAATTCTGGGAGCGGAAGTCCAAAACACCTGGAGAGACATGGGTTATACAGGCCTGACTTCTTGTATATTAGTTATTTTCAATATTTTTCACATTTGGGTTTGAAATCCTATGTTGGGCTCAAATTTGCAGTTCTGTTATGTACAGTCCAGCAATAAACCACTTCTGGTGAGGAATAAATAATGTGTTAAGGTGGCCAAGGATTTTATTTTATTCATCGTGTCAGGAGCAGACCAAACAGTTGTGCTGCATTTTTCAACAAACCGACAAAATACAAAACTTGCAAGCTTGGTAGTTGATTAAATGTCCTTTGACCAGTATCTGGCCACTTGGAGTGCCTCTGGTGTTGCTGCAAGAAGGTCTTCCATTGTGCACGTGGCAGGGCTCAGGTTGCATTGCAGCAGGTGGTCAGTGGTTTGCTCTTCTCCACACTCACATGTCGAGGATTCCACTCTCTAGCCCCGTTTCTTAAGATTGGCTCTGCATCTCGTGGTGCCAGAGCGCAGTCTGTTCAGCACCTTCCAAGTCGCCCAGTTTTCTGTGTGCCCAGGGGGGAGTCTCTCATTTGGTATCAGCCATTGATTGAGGTTCTGGGTTTGAGCCTGCCACTTTTGGACTCTCGCTTGCTGAGGTGTTCCAGCGAGTGTCTCTGTAGATCTTAGAAAACTATTTCTTGATTTAAGTTGTTGATGTGCTGGCTGATACCCAAACAGGCCAAGGATGAAAACATTTATAAATGAAATGAAATTCTTTTATTTGTTTCACAATGTCAGAAGTGATAGAAATGTGTAGAGAAATAGTATACATGCAGTCCCCAAGTTACAAACAAGATAGGTTCTGTAGATCTGTTCTTAAGTTGAATTTGTATATAAGTTGAAATGGGTACATATTTCAAGCATAACTCCAGCCAAAAATACATATTGTTTTAATTTTTGATAGCATAGAGAAGGGTTAACACCCCTGTGGTGTTTGTTTTGCTGTCTGTGTCCCTGTTGAGAAGATATCACCTCACTTTCTGTCCCTGTGATAATTGGATTTTGAAAAATTTAGCTTGTAGTAGAAACAAGGATTTTTGAGAAAGCTTCAGTGGAGACTCCTTTTCCCCAAGATAATTCTTCCAGGAGTGAATTTCTTTTCCTAGAAGCAGATGATTCTCTTCCTGTGTCATATGTTCTGCAGTTGATGGTGGTTGGTGATGTAAGGGTTAATGTGAGTATTAGTTCTAGAGCAGTGGTTCTCAACCTGGGGTCCCCAGATGTTTTTGGCCTTCAGCTCCCAGAAATCCTAACAACTGGTAAACTGGCTGGGATTTCTGGGAGTTGTAGGCCAAAAACATCTGGGGACCCCAGGTTGAGAACCACTGTTCTAGAGGGTTTGGTAATCTGTAAGTGGGAAAGCAATTAGGGGTGGAGGTGTGCAGCAGATGGGTTGCAGCTGGGTGTTACTGGATTTAAGGAGCTAACCTTGAGACTGATCTTTGGGAGAAAAGTATCTGTTGCATTTTGGTGGTGGATGCTCCTGGTTTCCCCCCCAGGTCTGTTGGATTTTCGGTATCCTGACCTGTCTCCTGTAATCTTGGAACCCTGGAACCTTGAACCTTTGGACTGGCTTTTGACTACGGTATAGACTCTTGATCCCTGGACTCTGTTATTGAACTCTCGGCGTTTGACCACTGGACTGGACCCTTTTGACTACGAAGTTATTTTTGCTATCAGTTTTTGTTTATTCTGTAGCTGAGTGCTATCTTTGTGTTTTATATTTTGGTCTATTAAAACAGCGAGCAAGTAAGTAAGTGCTGTTTTAGTTAAACTGTTTGATAAAACTGGGAGTTTGATTCATCTCTACCTAAATAAGTCAGAGCCCTGGCAACGTGACATCCTGTTGTCTCACCCCTGTTCTTAACTTTGAGTCATTTGTAAGTCAGATGTTTGTAACTTGGGGACTGCCTGTATAGGTACTGGTCATTTAATATACTTGCAAGGTATAAATGTGATTTCATGCGATAGTAACACAAAACAACATTTACAGTGTTGTTTCTTTTGCTTCCTTTTAGAATTACAGCCTGATGTAGTCTCCAGTAATCCCATTTTACGGACATGCGACATCGCCATTCCCAAACACCTTGGGCCTGTTCAGGCCTGGGTGGAGTCACTGAAACATTACGATGCCAGGCATATCGGCTTGGCGGATCTACATCCCGATGTATTTGCAGTAATGCCTCGGTATGGACTGAAGTTGGGTTTGAGTTTCTGACTTTCCTGAGATAAATAAAAATAAGCTTGCATTTCAAAAGGATACATAGTAGTTTAGGGTGGCATCCCATTGGCCAGTTCCAACTCAAATAGGCCCACTGAATCAGTTGACAAATCCGATTGATTCAGTGAGTCTATTGTGTTTCAGACGAATAACAAGATTCAGGTCATAAATTTGCATAAATTAAAGAATTTCAGGGGAACAATCCACCACTTTCTGTAAGGACCTAAAAACATGGTTGTTCCAATGTGCCTTTGATCATTCAGTTCACTAAATGAATTGGCCCTTCTAGCCATCACTTCATTCTCGACTCTTGCACTTTACTATTGTCCCTTCCCTGGAGTTATACTGTACTAATCTGACTTGGCCTTTCAACCTTAATTTATTACCTACCATCAGCCATCAGCCCTTGTCCTGGCAGTTGTATTGCACAAGCCTTCCCTCGTCCCTTAGTATGGAAATTTCTATTATGTTTGGTTACTGATTAATGATGTTTCAATTATGTTTTTATGATGTTGTTATATGTATGGAGGAGGGCCAATGTGGTCCCAATCTTCAAGAAGGGAAAAAAGGATGACCCAAACAACTACTGTCCGGTCAGCCTCACGTCAATACCAGGCAAGATTCTGGAAAAGATTGTTAAGGAAGTGGTCTGCAAACACTTAGAAACAAATGTGGTCATCGCTAATAGTCAACACAGATTTATCAAAAACAAGTCATGCCAGACTAATCTGATCTCTTTTTTCGATAGAGGTACAAGCTGGGTAGATGCGGGGAATGCCGTGGATGTAGCGTACCTGGATTTCAGTAAGGCCTTCAACAAGGTCCCCATGACCTTCTGGCAAGGAAACTAGTCCAATGTGGGCTAGGCAAAACTACGGTGAGGTGGATCTGTAATTGGTTAAGTGGACGAACACAGAGAGTGCTCACTAATGCTTCCTCTTCATCTTGGAGAGAAGTGACAAGTGGAGTGCCGCAGGGTTCCGTCCTGGGCCCGGTCCTGTTCAACATCTTTATTAATGACTTAGATGAAGGGCTAGAAGGCAGGATCATCAAGTTTGCAGACGACACCAAATTGGGAGGGATAGCCAATACTCCAGAGGACAGGAGCAGAATTCAAAACGATCTTGACAGATTAGAGAGATGGGCCAAAACTAACAAAATGAAGTTCAACAGGGACAAATGCAAGAGACTCCACTTTGGCAGAAAAAATGAAATGCAAAGATACAGAATGGGGGACGCCTGGCTCGAGAGCAGTACGTGTGAAAAAGATCTTGGAGTCCTCGTGGACAACAAGTTAAACATGAGCCAACAATGTGATGTGGCGGCAAAAAAAGCCAATGGGATTTTGGCCTGCATCAATAGGATCATAGTGTCTAGATCTAGGGAAGTAATGCTACCCCTCTATTCTGCTTTGGTTAGACCACACCTGGAATATTGTGTCCAATTCTGGGCACCACAATTCAAGAGAGATATTGACAAGCTGGAATGTGTCCAGAGGAGGGCGACTAAAATGATCAAGGGTCTGGAGAACAAGCCCTTTGAGGAGCGGCTTAAGGAGCTGGGCATGTTTAGCCTGAAGAAGAGAAGGCTGAGAGGAGATATGATAGCCATGTATAAATATGTGAGAGGAAGCCACAGGGAGGAGGGAGCAAGCTTGTTTTCTGCTTCCTTGGAGACTAGGACGCGAAACAATGGCTTCAAACTACAAGAGAGGAGATTCCATCTGAACATTAGGAAGAACTTCCTGACTGTGAGAGCCGTTGAGCAGTGGAACTCTCTGCCCCGGAGTGTGGTGGAGGCTCCTTCTTTGGAAGCTTTTAAGCAGAGGCTGGATGGCCATTTGTCAGGGGTGATTTGAATGCAATATTCCTGCTTCTTGGCAGGGGGTTGGACTGGATGGCCCATGAGGTCTCTTCCAACTCTTTGATTCTATGATTCTATGATTTTTACTGTGATATATTTTAACTCTGTCTGACTGCCCCAAAATGATGCAAAAAAAATCTCTGGGTGAACATCTGACAGTGTTACAAACTAGGCTAGACCTGTTCAAATGTACCAGAGCATCAAGATACGTGAATTCTGCTCCAATTTGGCAGGAAATCAAGGTGTTTGAGTTTTTCACGTGGTTTTTACAAGTGAGTCTGGTAGAGCAGCAAATAAAAACAAAAGCAAATTTGAGGTTAGGATGAAATGTGACATATCCCTAAAAACCATAAAGCTGAAAGGTAGTATCTTCCCCTTCTCCAACAGTATTACAACCTTGCGTTTAAATTGCAGAATATTTTGACCACACTTATTTCTATCTCCAACAAGACTGATTGGTAACTGGCAAATATAGGGAGAAAACGTGGAGGCAGTGACAGACTTTGTATTTCTAGGTGCAAAGATTACTGCAGCCAGGAAATCAGGAGACGCTTACTTCTTGGGAGGAGAGCAATGACCCATCTCGATAAAATAGTGAAGAGTAGAGACATCACACTAGGAACAAAGATCCGCATAGTTAAAGCAATGGTATTCTCCATAGTCACCTACGGATGTGAGAGCTAGACCTTAAGGAAGGCTGAGCGAAGGAAGATAGCTGCTTTTGAACTGTGGTGTTGGAGAAAAGTTCTGAGAGTGCCTTGGACAGTGAGAAGATCCAACCAGTCCATCCTCCAGGAAATAAAGCCCGATTGCGCATTGGAGGGAAGGATATTAGAGGCCAAGATGAAGTACTTTGGCCACATCATGAGGAGACAGGATAGCTTGGAGAATACAATGATGCTGGGGGAAAAGGAAGAAAAAAGGAAGAGGGGTTGACCAAAGGCAAGATGGATGGATGGCATCCTTGAAGTGAGTGGATTGACCTTGAAGGAGCTGGGGGTGGTGACGGCTGACAGGGAGCTCTGGTTTAGGCTGGTCCATGAGGTCATGAAGAGTCGGAAGCGACTGAACGAATGAACAACAAATATTTCTATCTCTAGGGCTGTTCTTTCATTGTCCATTTTTCAGATGTTCTACAAGCTTTGGTTTTAGCTTTGAATATGTTTTTATTCAGTGTTACCGATTTTAGCTTTTAGTTTTTAATTAATACACTTGATGTTCAATTCTATTTTGATATTTGTATGTTTTGGGGTTTTAAATTGTATAGAAATGCTTTTAATGTAAGCCGCTTTGAGTTTCCCTTGTGGAGAGAAAAAGTAGGGTATAAATCAACATAATGCTAACACAGTGTGTCTGTGTTTGCTTTGCCCACAGAATTGATATCCTGCACACAGTGGCTACTTGGCAGAGGAATTTCAAGAGAATTGTGAGTATTTAAGTGTTGGTAGAAAAATACGCCAAGAATTAAGATACTTAGAAAGTAACAAGCTGTAGAGTCAGATTGCTGGAGGGTGCAAAAAAGTGATGTTTAGAAATCTATATTTTGTACATTCATACATTTTCTAACTATTTATTTATTGTATCAGGAGTGGATCAATGTATTTGAGAAAACACAAAGTTTTCTAACAACAGTGTGTCTTTGGTATCTGCTGGAATTTGGTTTTAGCTCCTCTTGTCCCTGCGGACATCAGACGTGGATGCTCAAGTCCACAGTATATACAACGGCATACTAAAATTGTGTCTCTTGTATAAAACGGTGAATTTTTTTTTTGTCGTGCCAGGAGCGACTTGAGAAACTACAAGTCACTTCTGGTGTGAGAGAATTGGCTGCCTGCAAGGACGTTGCCCAGGGGACGCCTGGATGATTTGATGTTTTATCACCCTTGTGGTGGGAGGTTTCTCTCATGTCCCCGCATGAGGAGCTGGAGCTGATAGAGGGAGCTCATCTGCCTCTCCCCGGATTCGAACCTGCGATCTGTCGGTCTTCAGTCGTGCCGGCACAGGGGTTTAACCCACTGCGCCACCGGGGGCTCCTATGGTGAAATTATAGTTGGTTTTGGGGGAGATATCTATATACTTTGAAGCTACAAATAGTTGAATCTATAGATGTAGAATCTATGGATATGGAGAACTGGCTGTATAATGTATACGTGTTGGTTATGGGATTTTTGGAATGTTTTTGGATTTATTTTCAGAATGTGGATGATTGAATATATAGATATGGCAGACCAGTTATTTTCAGCACTGCAGCGTTATCATATTATATATTCAGAGTGATTATATCAAAAAGTTTAAGCATCTGTTCTCAGCTTCATTTCCCCTAGTTTGTGGTATGCCTTGCTTAGACAGTAGAATACATCCTGTGTGAGAACTTGGTTAACTTTAGGGATTGTACAAAATACACACTTAGCTTCATGTTCGAAAGGGCCCAGAGTAAAGGCTTACAGGATGTAGGTATGCCATGCAGATTCCTCATTTTCACCGGTATTTCGCTTAGCCACACATATTAATATTTGTTATTTTTGTTACACCAGCGTGGGAAACACAAATTAATTCTTTTTCAGCTTTGTTCTGCCCCACAAATACTGTAGTAACAATACTACAGTTGGTCCGCCACATTTGCAAGTTTAACTTTTTTGAATTTGATTACACTACGTGACACAATTTTTGTTCAGTTTAATAAACTTTTTCCATGTATCATAAAAACATGGAAAAAGTTTATTCAACTGAAATAAAATTGTGGGATATCCTGCAGTTCATTTTCCTATAATTTTCCCATGAATATCTCCCAGAGTCTCAACCAATTCAACATAGTTTGTGGCAGCCACAAAAACAAAGTTTATGGACTATAACAACTACTTTCAAAGCAAGTACACACAATTAAACAGGAAATAACACTTTCAAACCAGGAAACAGGAAAAATATTCAAATTTTGTTACATAGTGTTATTCACAGAATAGATCAAAATATTCTCTCTAGGACTCTGTAGGTTCTTCAGTGCAACTCTATAATCAGTTTCCAGCTGGAAGGTCTAGAATAGATTATAGATTATGGATGTCAAACTCATTTTTATGGAGGGCCACATCAGCCTTATGGTTGCCTTCAAAGGAACATTGTATCCCTGGGCAGAGTAACCGTGGATGCTGAGGGCCCACTTTTTACATAGTGGTGGTGCTGTTTAGTTTTTACCCTGTTTGGATACTTGGATGTTATTGAATGACAACTCCCATCACATTTGATTATATGAACCGGGAATAATGGGAATTGCAACCCAACAGCATTTCTGGTTCTGTAGTTTAGGGGAAGGTGGGGACTCGAGACAAGGCCTTTTCTATGGTGGCCCCCCGATTCTGGAACTTGAAGACCTGGCTGTTCCGATGTGCCTTCCCAGATTAGGAATCTCCAATACCAAGTCCTAGAAGCACTTTAGTAGAACTAAGATTGCTGCACACCGCACACTGCACTTACTTTATAATCCTACATACCTCCTGCCACATCAGCACTTTTAATCTTGTACCCATTACTCTGGCCCGGCCCAGTTTTATAGTGTCTTGATGTATTGTTTATTGTTTGTTGCTTATACTGCTTAACTGTTTTTAATTTGCTTTAGGTATTGTTTGTTGTATTGTGTTTTGAGGCCTTGGCCTATGTAAGCCGCATCGAGTCCTTCGGGAGATGCTAGCGGGGTACAAATAAAGTAATAATAATAATAATAATAATAATAATAATAATAATAATAAGGTCGTAGGACATTTTAAAGCCAGATGTTATATCCACAAGTCTTGTATCTAAATTCATATCCCACCATTCTGATTAAACATAACAACCTGCAGGCTTCCAGTTGTTTCTGTATCACATCAGCTGTAGTCATGATGGCTAATAATGAGGAAGGACAGGAGTTGCAGTCCAGCATTTGGAGGGCCACATAAAATGACATGGTGGGTCAGATTTGGCCCAAGGGCCTTGAGTTTGACAGATGTGTTCTAGGGGATTCATAGAATGAACTCATCAACCTCTAGTGGAAAACTCAGTGATTCCTAGAGAGATGTTTCCTTGGGTTTAAAAAATTGTGTGTATGTGTTTTTTAATACACAGTTTCCCCACTTTAGTGGGGGTCCCGTGCTTCTAACCCCAATGAATGTGGAAGCTGACTATTTATTTATTTAGACCATTTCTACCCCGCCCTTCTAACACAGGCAACAATTCAATGCCAACAGTATCAAAACAACAATATAAAACAGCAATATAAAATCCAATTACATAACAATTAAACAGTGATATTAATTAGAATTACATAATCACAGGTCATAAAGCCATTTCCAATTTTCAAACAATCCTATTGTCCAAGTTCAGTGCCTAAAGTGCCACTGTGCCCACTACCCAAAGGCCTGGCTCCAAAACCGCGTCTTTAGGTTTTTCCTAAAAGTAAGGAGGGAGGACGCCGATCTAATCTCGCTGGGGAACGAATTCCATAAGCGGGGGGTCACCACCAAAAAGGCCCTGTCCCTCGTCCCCACCAGACGCGTTTGAGAAGCTGGTGGGACCGAGAGCAGGGCCTCCCCAGTAGATCTTAAATTATCAGGTGGAATGTAGAGAGAGATACGTTCGGATAAGTAAGCTGAGCCGGAGCTGTATAGGGTTTTATAGGCCAAGATCAGCACTTTGAATTGTACTCGGAGGTGGACCAGCAGCCAGTGGAGCTGACGCAGCAGGGGGTGAGTAATCTGGCTGCTGCCCGTTGGACTAGTTGAAGTCTCCGAACAGTCTTCAAAGGCAACCCCACGTAGAGTGCGTTGCAGTAATCTATTCGGGATGTAACCAGAGCGTGGACCACTGTGGCCAAGTCAGACTTCCCACAAAGTTATGAGAACTACTGAACTGACATGAATCTCATTCAGCATTATAATTGACTGCGTGTCATTGAGAAATAATCTCACACCTGGTTTAACTTTCCAGAGCTATGCCAAGACGAAAACACGTGCAGAGGTTCGTGGTGGTGGCAGGAAGCCCTGGCGACAGAAGGGCACTGGACGGGCCCGGCATGGCAGTATCCGGTCACCTATATGGCGTGGTGGTAAGCAATCTGTTCATAACAATATGGAGCATACATCTTTTGTAAGCCTTCTTGTTATCTCTTCTTATGGCTAGAAATGTGGACCTCGGAAGCACCGTTCTTGTGTTTTCTTTCAACAGATCTTCAAACACTGTACGTGGTTCTTTGCCAACACATATGAGAGAGGAAATGTATGTTCCAACTGAACACCCTTTGATTTTTCCCTCCTTTCTTACGTTTCTCCCAGGGGGGGTGGCCCACGGCCCACGGGGCCCCACCAGCTACTTCTACATGCTGCCCATGAAAGTGAGGGTCCAGGGCCTCAAGGTGGCACTGACAGTCAAGTTGGCACAGGTACGGCTGCTCCATTATTGTGGGAATGCAAGCTTTTACCTCTGCCAAGGTAGAGGACTTGTAATCCAAAAATGTAAAAGCACATTATTGGAGAGAGGCATACCAATGACTATAGAGCATTGGTTCCCAACTTTTGGTCCTCCAGTTTTTTTGCACTTCAACTCTCAGAAATCCTAGCCAGCTTACCAGCTGTTTGGAATTGTGGGAGTTGAAGTCCCAAACACCCGGAGGACCAAAGTTTGGAAACCACTGCTACAAACTATATTAGCTAACTGGATCTTCTGTGTATAGAAGCACTACAGTACACAGCTTTAATCTGTTGGAGATATGTTCCTGAATGTGCTATGGAAACAGGAAACTAGGGTTAATAGAAAATCCCATTGAAATAAATAACTTCTGCTGGAAGGTGCCCTCTGTAGGAATTTTCTAGGTCCTCCAGGACAACTCTATGTCAATGTCCAGCCTAAGTATACTATAGAATCACCTGGAGGACCTAGCAAATTCTGAAGGTATATTTTGGCAGATGAAACCATGGATTCTTTATCTGTATGGGGATAATGCCATGAATACTTATTTATAACTGATTGACTGCCCTTGGATAATGATTTAAATCCGTGACCGCTGACTATTGTCTGTTTTTATATTGTTTATACGGTTTTATACTGTTTATACTGTTTTATATTGTTATTATTACATTGCTGTTAATTGTATATTTATATTTTGATGTGGGTGTCATGGGGTGCCACTTTGTTAGCCGCCATGAGTCCGTCTACAGAGGTTGAGAAAGGACGGGATATAAAAGCCCTAAATAAATAAATAAATAAATACTTTGAATATTTGAATATAAAACAGCACCGATAAAAAGGCCAACTCAATTTAAATATTATATTAAGTTGGGCTTTTTATGAGTATTGTTTTATGTTAATTGTTGTTGTAAATGTGGATGTATTTACTCATATTTTATCTGTTTTACAGCGCTAATATGTGCTCTCTGTAAGCCGCCCTGAGACCCTTCTGGGAGATGGTGGCGGAATATAAATAAAGTTGTTGTTATGATTAATAATAATAATAATAATAATAATAATGTGTCAGCAATAAAAGAGAGAGACGGGGGGAAGGGGCCAAAAGAGAGAGAGTGGGGAGGGGGCAAACCAAACTTCTCATGAAAGGAGGTTTCACAGTTTGGGAGCCCATGGAAAAGGCTTTCTCTTGAATTCTCACCAATTGTGCCTGCAAAGATGGTGGGGCTCAGAGAAAGCTCTTCCCTGAAAATATTAAGTCTTACATTAGGTAATATATGTGGATCCAAGTTGTTTTAGGCTTCAAGGGGCAGCCTTGGTTCATGCTGTAAAAGCAAGATCGATCTGATAGATCAAGGGTCCTCAAACTTTTTAAACAGAGGGCCAGGTCACAGTCCCTCAAACTGTTGGAAGGCCGGATTATAATTTGAAAAAAACATGAATGAATTCCTATCCACACTGCACACATCTTATCTGTAGTGCAAAAACACTTAAAAATAATACAATAATTAAAATGAAGAACAATTTTAACAAATATAAACTTATTAGTATTTCAATGGGAAGTGTGGGCCTGCTTTTGGCTGATGAGATAGGGTTGTTGTTGCTGTTGTTGTTGTGTGCTTTCAAGTCGTTTTCAGACTTAGATTGACCCTGAGCGAGGGCCTGGTAAATTACCTTGGAGGACCATATCTGGCCCCGGGCCTTAGTTTGAGGACCCCAGTGATAGATGGTCACCATAACAGCTTTAATACACAACTGAGCCAACAGCAACAGACCTCAACTTTTGGTATCCTGGATATTTTATATTTCAGTTCCCAGAATTCCTGACAATTAGCCCTACTGGTTATGGCTGCTGGGAACTGAAGTCTGGTCACCAAAAGTGAATGGCTGTCTATAGGATCAAACGTTAAAGTATCTGGTCTTTTGTTTCTGTTTTTAAAATGGATTGAATGCCTTAAAGTCCTTCCATGACAAAATGCATGTAAATGCTTGCATGTCTATTTCTTTTTCTGTGCCAGGTAATAGGCATGATTGTTAAATCAATAATTTTAAAGTAGAAATTAATGTTCTTTTCAGTGATATTACATGTCTAAGAAATAGTTCCCCTCTGGATTTACTGTATATGCAGATGATTCCTATAATAATAGTGTAGTCATCATTCTGCATTTGTGTGCTTTGTCTTTGCGGATTTGATTATAATCTCTTCTTTAAGGATTTCTAGTTCCTTCAGGATTATTCTGTGGTCAGCTTCCAGTAGAAGGTGACCACTGAAATGCAGTGGAGGAGCTAGAGATTTATACAGAGGTGTTCTCTCAAGTTTAAAAATCTGGGGTTTTCCACTTTTGTGTGGGTTCTGTTTCCCAACCCCAATTAATGCAAAGGAGTGACAACAACAATAATAGATGTACTTGCAATTATAGGTTGAGGTAAAGGTTTTCCCATGACATTAAGTCCAGTCGTGTCTGAATCTGGGGTGTGGTGCTCATCTCCATTTCTAAGCCGAAGAGCCGGCGTTGTCCGTAGATATCTCCAAGGTCATGTGGCCGGCATGACTGCATGGAGCACCGTTACCTTCCCCGCCGGAACGGTACCTATTAGGCCTGGGTAACAACGGAAAAATTTGTTTCTAAAATCGATTTGTATTTGGGGGGTTTTTTTGTTTCGATATTTAAAATAATTACAAAATTTTCCTTTTAAAAAGTTCGATATTTACGAAATTTCGTAAATGGCAAAAAATTAACGAATCGATTTCCGAAACAATAACGAATCGATTCGTTAATGGCGGACGCGACCGCGAAATACGCTAAAAAACCTCCAAAAACTTCTGAAGCTTCCCTCTCCCTCTGTTCTTGACTGTTGGTGTGATATTATAATTTTTTTTCACTAATTAAACCATAAAACTGGCCCAGACATGCGGAAATAATAACGAAACGACCTCAGAACAATAACGAGACGAATACAATAACGAAATACGAAGCATTTACAAAACGTATTTAAAAATTCATTTTTTTTAAAAAATAATTGCTCCAGAATGGTTCGTTATCGTTTTGTAATTGGAAAAATTAACGAATTATTAACGAATTACGAATTAACGAAACGAAACCGCCCAGGCCTAGTACCTATTGATCTACTCAGATTTGCATGTTTTCAAACTGCTAGGTTGGCAGAAGTTGGGGCTGACAGCTGAAGCTCACACCGCTCCCCAGATTCGAACCTACGACCTTTTGGTCAACAAGCTCATCAGCTCAGCACTTTAACCCACTGCCACCGGGGTCTCCTAGTTGCAATTATAACTCCTTGCAAATATATCTGACAGGGAAGAAAATATCCCAAAGCCTGGAAATGTTACTTTTTGATGTACATATTCAAGAATCTCCCATACAGTTCATAGGTTAACTTTTCCAGGTGCTGATAAAGTCAAACTATAGTGCTATATAGGGTATAAGGGATGGGCAGAGTGATACCCTGGCTTACATTGTGTTCGTTCTCTATTTTTCCCTCTGTCTGTAGGACAATCTCCATGTCGTAGACTCTCTAGAGATCCCAACTTCCGATCCCCAGTATCTCATGGACTTGGCCCGCTACAGGCACTGGGGAACATCCGTGCTGATTGTAGATGTGTGAGTTTTTAACAATGGCAGAGAGAGATGATTGAGGAAAGGGACGTTCAATGATTTTTGAAGGGAAAAATGGGTGCTTCTGAGATATTCAAGCTTCGTGTTTGCTTAGATTTAGAAGGAGAAGGAAGTATTTTTCATTGGACGAATGCATTCTAATGCATTACAAAGACAGGATCTAGAGTAGCCTACTAGCTTATGATCATTTTTGCCCAAATGCATTGTTTTCTAGTTGTCTTCTAGAAAATCTTGGAGTTTGGCAGATTACTTGGGATCCTAAATGAGAATATTAGTGATGGCCAACAAAATTCCCTGCTGCAACCTTGAACTGAGCAGCCAAAAGAGGTGTTGGGTGTATTCTGCGCATCATGTTTGGTGCATTTAGCATCTGACACCCATCATGTCTGCCCTTGTGATCTCACTGTACTCTCAAGAACATGCCTTGGAAAACTCTGAGCTGGTCACTTAGATTGATAATATCAGCTTCTTATTTTTCTGCATTCCTAAGAACAAGTTTCCCCTATGTACACTGCACCCTTCATATGTACAGTATTGGTGTATGATTGCAGGATCCATCATGGATACCAAATCTGTAGAAACTAAAGTCTCATTATATAGGTTGACATGATAAAATGATGTCCCTTGTATAAATGAGCAAAATTAAACTATCCTTTTTGTTTCTTAAAACAAATTAAAATATCATTTTTGTTTCTTAAAAATATATTAAAAATCCTTTTTTGTTTCTTAAAAAATATGTTCAAGCTGTGTATGGTTTGTTCTATAGATACAGAGGGCTGACCTTACTTCCTGAATAAATGCCATAGTGTTGCTTTAGGGTGTAAGAGCTGTTCTGCAGTGGAACTCTCTGCCCCAGACTGTGGTGGAGGCTCCTTCTTTGGAGGTTTTTAAGCAGAAGCTGGGTGGCCATCTGTCGGGGTGCTTTGAATGTAGTTCCTGCTTCTTGGCAGGGGGTTGGACTGGATGGCGCACGAGGTCTCTTCCAACTCTATGATTCTGTAAATTCCTACAAAGTCTGCTTGGTTGAACTACTTGTGTGGGTATACAAAATCTGCTTAGTTATTACTAATAATATTACAGTATAATGTTATAGTACAATGTAATATATAATATTAATATTGTGCTATGATAGAAATATAATATATTGTATTTACTTTTTACTTGTAAGCCCCTCTGAGTCCCCTTCGGGGTGAGAAAGGCGTCATATAAATGTCGTAAATAAAGAAATAATAAATTAGTTATAACTCTTGGGGGGGGGGCATACAGTATCTGATTTGGTGACACTTCCCTTAGCTTCTTTTCCCGTAACTCCATGGACTTGAAAATTGAGATTCCCAATAAAGTGCATTTGATGAGTGCATCTTAATAATAATTAATAATAATTAATAATAATTAATTAATAAAGTGCATCTTAATGGTGAAGGTAATATTCACATCCTGAAATTGCATGAGCTCTTGGAATATGTGAAAATGTCCAATATATGTAGTTTAGGCTGAGGTCCTGGAGTTGAAGTCCTGAATTTGTTTCCAATGTTTACGAACTAGCTTACAGCCCTACAAGACTGCAAGTAGCATTAGTCTTTTTGATGCTTGCTGCAATAAAGTGGCACATCCAGTCCTGTAGAACCAAAAGTGAAAATTTGCCAAAACGTCTTGAGTCCCTTCACTAATGAAATGCAGCATAGTCTTGAGCTACTGCTCCTCTTGAGAAGACCTGAGCAGGAAGTAGTTGGGGGGTCATCAGAGTCAAAGCACATCACCCAGCCAGGATGGAAGATATTTGTACCGGAAAATCTTGTGACACATTTATAAATAATGCTTCCTTTTGTGGCTTCCAGCAATGAAATCCCTGAAAATATCAAGTTGGCAGCGAATGATCTTAAAACCATCAGCATATTGCCTGTCATAGGTGAGTGGAGGAAACAGGGGTACATTGCGGTGGTCAGGAATCTCTAGAAAGGTGACTCCTATGGCATGCTGATGTTGGGCATTATGTTTAATTTATTTATTTATTTATTTATTTATTTACTTTGCTTATATACCGCTGTATCTCAAGCCCGAAGGCGACTCACAGCGGTTCACAAACAGTAAAAACAGTAGAAACAGCAGTGGTTCCATACAACATATAACAATTGACTTAACACATTATCCATAAATTACCAATAAGCAATTACAATGCACAATTATTATGAAAAACAACTGTACCCAATCTTCTCATCATCCAAGCGTAGTCCAGGTTCGTCGTCCATTGTTCCATTCCTATATTCCATTACCAGATTGCACTAAATTACTCAAACGCCTGCACAAACATCCAGGTCTTCACCTTTTTGCGGAATACCATTAGAGATGGTGCTAGTCTAATGTCCTTAGGAAGGGCGTTCCACAGCCGAGGAGCCACCACCGAGAAGGCCCTATCTCTCGTCCCCGCCAGCCGAGCTTGAGAAGCAGGCGGGATCGAAAGCAGGGTCTCCCCGGAAGATCTCAAAGTCCTGGTGGGTTCATAGGCAGAGATGCGGTCAGATAGGTAGCTTGGGCCAGAACCGTTTAGGGCTTTAAAGGCCAACGCCAGCACTTTGAATTCAGCCCGGTAGCAGATCGGTAGCCAGTGGAGTTGGCGCAACAGGGGGGTTGTATGCTCCCTGCGCTCCGCTCCTGTTAAAATCATGGCTGCCGAGCGTTGGACTAGTTGGAGCTTCCGAGCTGTCTTCAAAGGCAACCCCACGTAGAGAGCGTTGCAGTAGTCTAAACGGGATGTAACCAGAGCATGGACTACCGTGGCCAAGTCAGACTTCCCAAGGTACGGGCGCAGCTGGCGCACAAGCTTTAGCTGTGCAAATGCTCCCCTGGTTGACGGTATCGAAGGCCGCTGAGAGGTCCAGCAGCACCAACAGGGACACACTCCCCCTGTCGAGCTCCCGGCGCAGATCATCCACTAAGGCGACCAAGGCTGTCTCGGTACCATGTCCCGGCCTAAAGCCAGACTGTGCCGGGTCTAGATAATCCGTGTCTGCCAAGAATACCTGGAGTTGTGAGGCCACCACACGTTCCAAGACTTTGCCCAAGAAGGGCAAATTAATTATTATTAATTATTATTAATCCAATGGCAAACACTCCTCCCTGTCTCAGTCTCTCCCAGGCAACGTCAGGGTTTGTTTTGCAAGAATGATGAACAATTCTTGTTCCTCTTCATCTTTTGGTATGGCGTCATCCTTGATTGCCTCAAAGTTTTGCTCATCCCAGCATCATCATAACAGGAAACTATGTACACGTAAAGAACAAGTCATCTTCCACATAGAAGTAACAGAATAAAAAGACATTTCTTTTGTTCTTCAATGAAGTGGTTACTGTTACATTTTGCATCTATATCCTGAAATGCTTTGGAACAGTAATTATTTTGGATATTTTTGGTATTTTGGAATTTGCAATCTAAACGGAGAGAACAGTTGACTGTATTACGATGCAAAAGTGGGAAAAGTGTAGATTTGAGGTGTTATAAATTGTCTCAAATTCAAGTTGAATTTTTAAAAACCTATTTGGAAAGCAATATCCATCATATCCCACCAGCCCTTGCAGAGCCAGTGGTGCAGTATGATGGGTGTTGCATGCAGATATCTGGAGAGACATATATTTATTTATCACTACTTAAAAATGCCCAAAAGAATTCTCATTCACAAATGGCTTCCCTTCCTGACGTTTTTACCTCTGACAGCACCAGTCATTTCCTTCCTCTTTCCTTATCTGTTTAGTTTGATGAATGAAAAGCCAGCCAGAAAGTTTGGCCTAGGGATTTTCTGTTTCTGACTCCGTTAATACGGGTTCATCCATGTTAAAGGTAAAGGTAGTCCCCTGACATTAAGTCCAGTCATGTCTGACTCTGGGGTGTGGTGCTCATCTCCATTTCTGAGCCGAAGAGCCAGCGTTGTCCGTAGACACCTCCAAGGTCATGTGGCCGGCATGACTGCATGGAGTACCCTTACTTTCCCGCCGGAGCGGTACCTATTGATCTACTCACATTTGCATGTTTTCGAACTGCTAGGTTGGCAGAAGCTAGGGCTGACACGCCGCTCCCCGGAATCGAACCTGCGACCTTTCGATCAACAAGCTCAGCAGCTCAGTGCTTTAACTCACTGCGCCATCGGGGAGGTGCTAAAAAAGCCTTGGAGTTGACATCCCTTTCTGACCATCTTGGCAGATAGTTTCCACACAGAACAGGACTCCCATGTTCTTGTTGCTACTTGTATCTGTGCACACAAGATTCACCCTAATCATTTTTTCTTTCTTGTTACAGGTCTGAATGTTCATAGCATGTTGAAGTATGAGACCCTTGTGCTCACCTTGGATACAGTCTCCTTCTTGGAAAAGAAATTGTTGTGGCATGACACTCGGTATAGCCCGCTGTACCCCTTCCGGTTGCCCTACAGCGACTTCCCATAGAGTTCATGTCAAAGATGAACTATGTCCAGCTGCAAGCATAGTGTTACTTCCTGTTCCACACACACACTGAATAGTGTGATTTTTTCTCCTAATATGTACATTAAAACTGACTTGTCTACTGGACTCTCTGACTGTCTTTTGGTATAGCACCTCTTCTCGGTGCTTTAAATTGATGTGTAGACTTCAAATGGTGGGATTGAGGAAGGGGAAACTTCGATAGAGTTTCAAGCTGGGTAGATGCGGGGAATGCCGTGGATGTAGCGTACCTAGATTTCAGTAAGGCCTTCGACAAGGTCCCCCATGACCTTCTGGCAAACAAACTGGTCCAATGTGGGCTAGGCAAAACTACGGTGAGGTGGATCAGTAATTGGTTAAATGGACAAACCCAGAAGGTGATTCTCCCCAATGCTTCCTCTTCATCCTGGAAAGAAGTGACGAGTGGAGTGCCACAAGCAGGATTCCGTCCTGGGCCCGGTCGTGTTCAACATCTTTATTAATGACTTAGATGAAGGGTTAGAAGGCAGGGTCATCAAGTTTGCAGACGACACCAAATTGGGAGGGATAGCCAATACTCCAGAGGACAGGAGCAGGATTCAAAATGATCTTGACAGATTAGAGAGATGGGCCAAAACTAACAAAATGAAGTTCAACAGGGGACAAATGCAAGATACTCCACTTAGGCAGGAAAAACAAAATGCAAAGATACAGAATGGGGGACAATGCCTGGCTCAAGAGCAGTACGTGTGAAAAAGATCTTGGAGTCCTCGTGGACAACAAGTTAAACATGAGCCAACAATGTGATGTGGCGGCAAAAAAAGACAATGGGATTTTGGCCTGCATCAATAGGAGCATAGTGTCTAGATCTAGGGAAGTAATGCTACCCCTCTATTCCACTTTGGTTAGACCACACCTGGAATATTGTGTCCAATTCTGGGCACCACAATTCAAGAGAGATATTGACAAGCTGGAATGTGTCCAGAGGAGGGCGACTAAAATGATCAAGGGACTGGAGAACAAGCCCTATGAGGAGCGGCTTAAGGAGCTGGGCATGTTTAGCCTGAAGAAGAGAAGGCTGAGAGGAGATATGATAGCCATGTATAAATATGTGAGAGGAAGCCACAGGGAGGAGGGAGAAAGCTTGTTTTCTGCTTCCCTGGAGAGTAGGACGTGGAACAATGGCTTCAAACTACAAGGAAGGAGATTCCATCTGAACATGAGGAAGAACTTCCTGACTGTGAGAGCCGTTCAGCAGTGGAACTCTCTGCTGAATGTGGTGGAGACTCCTTTGGAAATGTCTAAACCAGGGGTCCCCAAACTTTTTAAACTGAGGGCCAGGTCACAGTCTCTCAAACTGTTGGCGGGCCGGATTATAATTTGAAAAAAACCAAAACCATGAATTAATTCCAATGCACACTGCACATATCTTATTTGTAGTGCAAAAAACAAAACAAAAAAAAACACACAAACTTAAAAACAATAGAATAATTAAATGAAGAATAATTTTAACAAATATAAACTTATTAGTATTTCAGTGGAAAGTGTGGGTCTGCTTTTGGCTGATGAGATGGGATTGTAGTGTGCTTTGAAGTCATTTCAGACTTAGGTTGAGCCTGAATGAGGGCCAGGTAAATGACCTTGGAGGGCCGTATCTGGCCCCTGGGCCTTAGTTTGAGGACCCCTGGTCTAAACAGAGGCTAGATGGCCATCTGTCAGGGGAGCTTTGAATGCAATATTCCTGCTTCTTGGCAGGGGGTTGGACTGGATGGCCCATGAGGTCTCTACCAACTCTATCATTTTATGATTCTATGACGATCATTGTATCATTCAGAGAAATTTCAAGCATAATCGGCATTTCACATCGTGTGGGTCACATTGCTTTGCTTGGCTATTGGAAGATCTGTGCACGATGTGTACCCAGGATGCTGACACCTGAAATGAAGCGCACAGACTTGAAACTTAAGAGACTAGATCTCACCACCGTATGACATCATACAGTCCAGATTTAGCACCGTCTGACTTCCATCTGTTCACAATAATGAACGAAGATCTGCAGGGACATCATTATGCTTCTGATGAAGATGTTGAGAGAACTGTGAGATGCTGGTTGCGGAAATAAAGTGTTGATTTCTTCCATGACGGCTTCAGAAAATGTGTTCATCGTTGCCAGAAATGTATCCAATTGTCTGGTGATTATGTGGAAAAGTGAATAGTGGTAGTTAAAGAGCACATTCTAAGGATTATTTCTGCATTTGATTAATTAAAATATTCCTATCCAAACCCAAGTAACGAAGGTGGAGGCATTACTTTTCATTCAACCCTTGTAGCTCTTCAAGCTCAAGTTAACGGAGTCCAGCTCTGAGTGCTTCTAGTGTTGAAGGGGAAAGCTGAAAACCATAGTGGGCTGGAACTGCTGTTTATCACGGAAAAGCTTGTATCCTGGCAAATGTAACTCCAAGTAACAGCCCTGTTTTCTCATAACTTTACTGTTTCATGTCACTTCTGGTGTTCACTCTGGACCGTGCTCTTACCTACAAGAAGCACTGCCTGAACATCAAGCAAAAAGTGGGTGCTAGAAACAATATCATACAAAAGCTGACTGGCACAACCTGGGGATCACAATCAGACACAGTGAAGGCATCTGCCCTTGCGCTATGCTACTCTGCTGCTGAGTATGCATGCCCAGTGTGGAACACATCTCACTACACTAAAACAGTAGATGTGGCTCTTAATCAGACATGCCGCATTATCATGGGCTGTCTGCGTCCTACACCACTGGAGAAATTACACTGCTTAGCCGGTATTGCACCACCTGTAGCAGCCAATAGCGAAAGGACCAAGGCAGAGACATCTCCAGCTCATCCCTTGTTTGGGTATCAGCCAGCACATCAACGACTTAAATTTAGAAATAGTTTTCTAAGATCTACAGAGACTTTCGCTGGAACACCTCAGCAAGCGAGAGTCCAAAAGCGGCAGGCTCAAACCCAGAACCTCAATCAATGGCTGATACCAAATGAGAGACTCCCCCCTGGGCACACAGAAAACTGGGCAACTTGGAAGGCGCTGAACAGACTGCGCTCTGGCACCACGAGATGCAGAGCCAGTCTTAAGAAATGGGGCCACAAAGTGGAATCCACGACATGTGAGTGTGGAGAGGAGCAAACCACTGACCACCTGCTGCAATGCAACCTGAGCCCTGCTACATGCACAATGGAGGACCTTCTTGTGGCAACACCAGAGGCACTCCCAAGTGGCCAGATACTGGTCAAAGGACATTTAATCAACTACCAAACTCGCAAATTTTGTATTTTGTCTGTCTGTTTTGTTCTGTTAGAAATGTAATAGAATTGACTGGTTGCCCTGACATGACAAATAAATAAATACTGTTTCGTGTTTATAATGGTTAACAATGTCCTGAAGGCCATATAATGTGTTGCTGCTCTTCAGAGGACCAAAGCAAGTCTCTGTTTCTGGTGTTTTGCTGCCTTCTTTTTCCTTTGAATGGAAATGGTTTTAGAGCCAAACAATGATCCAGGAATTCAGAGAGATTTCATCAAGTCCCTGTTTGGAGAAGAACAATGCTTTCCTTGTTTTGCTCGTTGGTTTTAACTGTGGAAGTAGGTGTAAGGTAATGGATTTGTGGATAATTGCCCAGAATAGGCTCAAATATTGTGTCACTTCCTTTTATAAATAGCCCTTCCCCCTCCATCTGCATGTACCAGTGTGAAGAAAGAAAATCTGTTGCAGCTTTTAGTTTCAAAACAAGATCCACGTTCTTATGAGAACAGGCATGTACAGCGTGTGACTGCCTGGCATTTTATGGCAATCCCAATATGACTATCAGCTGTTTCATCATTGATAATTGATCCGGAGTTTCGGGGTACGGTGTCATCTGTACGCGGATGATGTCCAACTCTGTCACTCCTTTCCACCTGCTACTAAGGAGGCTGTCCAGGTCCTGAACCGGTGCTTGGCCGCTGTGACCGTCTGGATGAGGGCGAACAAATTGAAATTGAATCCAGACAAGACAGAGGTACTCCTGGTCAGTCGCAAGGCCGAACAGGGCATAGGGTTACAGCCTGTGTTGGATGGGGCCGCACTCCCCCTGAAGATGCAGGTTCGCAGCTTGGTGTGACCCTGGACTCATCGCTGAGCCTGGAACCCCAGGTTTCGGCGGTGACCAGGGGAGCATTTGCACAATTAAAACTTGTGCGCCAACTGCGCCCGTACCTTGGGAAGTCTGACTTGGCCACGGTAGTCCACGCTCTGGTTACATCCCGTTTAGACTACTGCAACGCTCTCTACGTGGGGTTGCCTTTGAAGACAGCTCGGAAGCTCCAACTAGTCCAACGCTCGGCAGCCATGATTTTAACAGGAGCGGAGCGCAGGAAGCATACAACCCCCCTGTTGCGCCAACTCCACTGGCTACCGATCTGCTACCGGGCTGAATTCAAAGTGCTGGCGTTGGCCTTTAAAGCCCTAAACGGTTCCGGCCCAAGCTACCTATCTGACCGCATCTCTGCCTATGAACCCACCAGGAGTTTGAGATCTTCCGGGGAGACCCTGCTCTCGATCCCGCCTGCTTCTCAAGCTCAGCTGGCGGGGACGAGAGATAGGGCCTTCTCGGTGGTGGCTCCTCGGCTGTGGAACGCCCTTCCTACGGACATTAGACTAGCACCATCTCTAATGGTATTCCGCAAAAAGGTGAAGACCTGGATGTTTGTGCAGGCGTTTGAGTAATTTAGTGCAATCTGGTAATGGAACATAGGAATGGAACAAGGGACGACGAACCTGGACTACGCTTGGATGATGAGAAGATTGGGTACGGTTGTTTTTGTAATAATTGTGCATTGTAACTGCTTATTGGTAATTTATGGATAATGTGTTAAGTCAATTGTTATATGTTGATTGGAACCACTGCTGTTTCTACTGTTTTTACTGTTTGTGAACCGCCGTGAGTCGCCTTCGGGCTTGAGATACAGCGGTATATAAGTAAAGTAAATAAATAAATAAATAAATAAATAAATAATGTTTTAGCCAACTTGTCTCTCCCTGATTTGTCAAGTCTGACCTAAGTAGGTTCAGGTCCAGGCTATGGTTGAGCACATTCCCTTGTACGAACCTAT